TATATTGCCCACATTTTTTAAATAAATTATATATATATATATATATATATATATATATATATATATATATATATATATATATATATAGTCTACAAAGATTTAACTTATTTTTTAAGCATTTAAAATTTATTAATAAAATTTGTGAAAATTGATAGTATAAGTACACTTGTTCAAGTTAACTGAAGCAGTACTAAAATATATATTTTAAAAGGTATTTATTACTATTCTCCACTGTGCTTTGCGAGAGCTCTTACTGAACAGCACATGTTCGATGACAGAGTGCCCAGGCACGAATGCAATGTGAGTGCAGGCCGTAGGGGGAAACGGAAGGGGGGAAAAGCATGCTTCAGCCTGGTTCATGGCAACTGTACAGTGCGAGTACGCCCTCAGACAAACGATGAATCCAGTCTGCACTGCCATTAGCATCCTCCACCTAGTTAATGCTAGCTTGCACATAACATTACCATAACGTCTTCTATACCCTCATTCTCCTCATCATGGGTCTGTTTGAAGGAGTGAATACATGAAACATGCCTCAATAAAGATGCACCCTCTCCTCTTTTTCTCTTGTGATTGCCAAATCCACTTGTTCACTCATTTTGATCTACGGCAAATACTACACTACAGTCCGCTCAATTCAGTGCAGGTTATTTCAAAACTTACATGCACTTCACCAATTAGAGCACGCTGTTTAGTTAAAAAAAGTAAAGAAGCAAAGGAAAAAATCTGCATGCTTTTTATACATGGTGACATTTTCTGACAATTTAAATACAATGATAATAATAATATATGATATTGACTATTTGCTAAGAGGAAATGCCTAGTTTCTAAAAAAAATGTTTTTAAAGAGAGGGAGGCAACCTTTATTAAGGCATGTGCAACCTATTAAATGCTCTTCAACAGAGCCATGAGGTAGGAGAATATGGGTGAAGTAGCGCTAGTTGTGGCAAATGATAATCGACAGGCTAACCAGGGTTTGGGAAAGGGCGACTAATAGTGGTGTAACGGATCCAAAATCTGCAGTTCGGATCACTCTACGTTTTTTGAGTTATGGATCGGACCATTTTTTGGATCAGCAAAAAAGGGAGGAGACAATTTGCTTTCCATTTATACAAAAATGTTACTGCATAAAACATTGCTTTTAACAAACAGAATATAGAACCTGTAATTTAAATAAAAAATAAAAATCAGGAAATAACCAGCTAAAAAAAAAGTATTCAATATGAAATATGATCTTTGCTACTGTTGCTGATAATGCAAAATATATAGAAATCTTGTACAACATATATTTATCTTCAATTAATGATTCAACAATTCACACATAAAACTTCATGTTTCATTATACTGTAGATGTATTATATTTGAAAACCTATTCAATGACATAATTTTGATGTTTGTTTGTCGCCATCTGTTGGTTACACAATGTAGTTGCTTTCACCAGCATCTTGTTTCATTAAACAGTGATTTTATTCTTACCATAATGAATGCATTAATGCAGGCTAAACAAACAGTGACAAAAAAACACCTTAATAGCCAAAAGCATTTAGGTAGGTCCCACAACGTCATCATTATATTTTACAGGGAAGCCAAAATGCTTTCATTCATGCAATTTGAATGATACGGGAGGCGATCTTTCTGCGATTGTTATAAATGTTGGATTAACCTACAAGTTCAAAAAAAGTTATTAATCTACGAGTCACGCGCATTCCGAACCGTGGGTTGTGATCCGTATCGATCACGGATCAACAGTGATCCGTTACACCCCTAGTGACTAACATCACAAATAAATAAATACAAATGAATTCTATTAAGATGTTGCTAACATTTGAAAATAACTTTATTATATATTTAAAATAACTATTTAGAGAAATAAGATAAACATCATCAAAACACACGAGGCACTTGTGACTTTGTTTAACATTTGCATTATTTTATTTTATTTTTAAATGTTTCCTACCTATTAAAAATAAATGTATTTCCCATCTGATATGCAATGGGGAGAAAAATAATAAGAATAAGTTCAGCTGACGGTATATTAGAACTCGAGTTGATGATCAATCGCGTCAAAACATGTTGCTATGTGCATTACAAGTTACACCACTGGCGCTATTTAGTTATGTTGTCTCTGTCGGTCAGACATCACTTGTCTGACAAAATTTGTGTAAATGGCTTATTCCATCAATGTGTGTTATTAACCATTGGTTAATCAGGCCCTGGATAGTATACAATCTTTAATAGTTTTAACTTTTCACTAATATGGAAATCATTAATATTAGCATTTTTTAGACTCTTAAATTAAACATTAACATTTTAAAGTGTGGTTTTCAATTAGGACATTTCTTTTTATTATTATTATTATTATTTAAATGTTATTTGTTGACATTTATAATGTCATGTCATCAAATCATTCATGACTTAATTTTTTTGTGTTAAATTAAACTCCTTTTTGCATCTTAACATTTTATACACTATGCTTATAATGAAACATTAACTGGGGGTTACCTGCAGTAAGAAAAAACATGTACAAAACTTTGGTACCTTTGATGTCACTGATGTACCTCCACGTAAGCATGTCTTTATCCTTCCCCAACCTCACATGATGAGCAGCATCTTTCAAAGGATTTAATCCTCTGCTTTGACTCTTACCACCATTCATTCACTGTTAAAATATTATATAAGGTTAAACTTCACAGTTTATAATATCAATACAATACCACATATGCAAAGCAGTATTAATATATGTGACGTAAGTTAGTGTAAAATTCTCTAAAGAAGACCAAAACAGAACAAAATAGTAATATAGTTATCAAATTTCATAATACAGTTATCACATTTCAAACCATTTAACAAAATATAAGTTAGTAGTGCACTATTTTGACAATTTGATCAAATAAAGTTATTTAACTAGGGTTAGTTAACCTCTTTTCATAATAAAAGTTCATTTATTCAAATGTACAGTTTAACTGAACACAAGTTTATCACAAAAAAACATTAGAAAAAATAAAACCACACATTTACATTAGTAAATTCAAACATTTTGTTCAATCATGCTTAATAATTCAAGTTTAGTAAATTGTTTCTACGTCATATTTATGTTTAATATACCTTGTTACCATGTTATTTATACCATATTCGAATGGTCATTGCTTCTCACATAAAAGTATGTGTAGAAAAAAATCACAAATTACATAGTGCATCTATTAAAACGTTACATCTCATGGAATCAGACGGCGAATTGTTTACCGCGGAGGAGTGAGCTCTGCCCGGTTCTGGGTTAAATCGACACCGGCGCTTCCAAGCCAGATACAGGCCGAGCGCGTGCTATTATTAGCAAATACACATTTTGAAGAACTAACTTACGTCTGATACTGCCATTACAAACACATATTTCTAACGTTTATTTGTTCTCATCTTCTGTTCCCAGTCACTAATTATTATTGTCTAAAACAGTACGCGCCGCATATAAATCTATAAATAAACTTGCTATTTTGAATAACAAGTGGAATAATACAGTACATATAATAATAAATAATGTACAAAGTATTAAAAACAAATGACTTACTTGTTTGATGTGAGTTTCACTGCTTGAAGCGCGACTGTCACGTCCACAGTCTTCATGAGGGACGTTTTCCCGCGATTGAATGTATGGCGCGAAATTGTGTAAGATTTGGCGCGAGTGTGTATAGAAGTGCAGTACCAAGTTCCGCCTACAGAGGCGCTGTTCAAAGATCACACATACACATCATGGTTTACAAGACCATATTTGTAAAGGTCATAAAAAGCACACCAAGTGTAATAATAACCAAATAACAATGTGAACTTTTGAAACAAGTCTTATAATTATCATTTAGGTCATTGTAATGAATAATCATAATTTAAACCATTTTTAATATCAACTTAAATTTTTAGTTTATGAGACCACCAAAAATGGTCTCATAAACTAAATGGTCTCATAATGCTGGTGGGTAAACCTGAAAATTGGTTCCATAAACCACATATGCCAACACACACACACACACACACACACACACACACACACACACACACACACACACACACACACACACACACACACACACACACACATACATACATACATACATACACCTACATACATTCATTCACACATACACCTACATACATACATACATTACATACATACAAACATATATACTATACATAGTATACATAAATACATAGTATACATACATACATATACATATACATATACATATATATATATATATATATATATATATATATATATATATATATATATATATATATATATATATATATTATTACCTCCCAGAATTATTAGCCCCCTGTTTATTTTTACCCTAATTTCTGTTCAAAAAAAGAGAAGATTTCTAAACATAATAGTTTTAATAACTCATCTCTAATAACTGATTTATTTTATCTTTACCATGATGACAGTAAATATTATTTAACTAGATATTTTTCAAGACACTTCTATAGAGCTTAAAGTGACATTTAAAGAGACTAGGTTAATTAAGTTAATAATGGTTTGTCCTGTAGACTATCAAAGAAAAATTAGCTTAAAGGGGCTAATTATTTTTTACCTAAAATGGTTTTTAAAAAATTTAAAACTGCTTTTATTCTTACCGAAATAAAACAATTAAGACTTTCTCCAGAAGAAAAAAATATTATCAGACATACTGTGAAAATTTCCTTTCTCTGTTAAATATTGTTTGGGAAATATTTATTTCAGGTGGAAGTAAATAAAATATATTTTTTAATTATAATTAAATTTAATTAAATGAATACAATTAAATATAAAATTAAATGAAATATAACTTTAACAATTAATAAAATAAAACAAAATTTAATTAAATAATTATTTCACAGCCTGAAGGTTTTATGTATTTGTCTTGCATTGTTGACTTTGTACTTGAGTTACTTGTAAAAAAGTTATTTAGTTGTATTCGTCATTTTTGTTCCAATCGTATTTTAATGTAGTTCTGGTGCATCAATTTCACCTTGAAGAGCTCCTTGCGGATGCGTCCCCTCAGGAAGTCTTTGACGAACTCTGTGTTTTCTGCCTTCTGGTGCACTTCTTTTGTTCCCGCCGCCAGCATTTCTGACAGATCTGTCGGCCTGTAGGGGGTCACATGATCTTCATTAGACAATTATGCATACAAACACTTAAACAGTGACAGAAGTATTCAGATTTTGTTTGATGATGCTCAGTGAGCAGTCATCAATAAACTGGCGCATTAGGACACAAACACAGACCACAGGTTGAGCGCCCTCTGCTGGTCTCACTAACACCATTTCCGGCACTTTCCCATATGATCTCCCCCATTCAGGTACTGACCAGGCACAGCCCTGCTTGGCTTCAGTGGGCGACTATGTGAAAGTTGCAGAGAGCTAGCGGCCGAATTTATCATCATACTTCCACTGTTGATTCATTAAATTAGAAACTGTGAATTATTTTTGTGTCACACATTTTCGAAAATGACAGTTAAATATTCAAATGAGACATTGCGGCAGTCAATTTGTGCTAATTTGCATATATTCATTTATGAACACTGGTTGAAGTCACGTTCTGGATTTTTGTTTCATCAAAGGGATTGGGGATCTATTTTTATCTCTTCGTTTACACAAAACTTTTGAGACTTTTCAGTTTTCACAATTCAAAAGCAGTATCTGATTTTCATTAGTTTATTCATGCTTATTTTTTTCAGCTTCATGTTTATTCCTCCTTTAATGAAAGAGTACCATCAATTTTGTCTACGTTGTATATACAGATGAAGTCAGAATTATTAGCCCTCCTGAGTTATTAGACCTCCTGTATATTTTTTTCCCAATATTAGATTAACAGAGAGGTTTTTTTTCAACACATTTCTAAACATAAGTTTTAATAACTAATTTCTAATAACTGATATTATTCAAGATAATAGTATTCAGCTTAAAGTGATATTTAAAGGCTTAACTAGGATAATTAGGCAGGTTAGAGTAATTAAGCAAGCCATTGTATGGCCATAGTTTGTTCTGTACCACCGTAATGCACAAATGTTGCTTCAGGGGGGGTTAATTATATTGAAATGAAAATGCTTTTAAAAATTTAAAAACTGCTTTTATTCCAGCCGAAATAAAACAAATAGGTTTTTCTCCAGAAAAAAAAATATTATAGGAAGTACTGTGAAAATTTCCTTGCTCTGTTAAACATCATTTGGGAAACACTTGAAAAAAAATTCACAGCAGGGCAAATAATTTGACTTCAACCATATTATAACTATTAGTTGTAGTTTCATGGCATCATTTCTTCATGCACTGAACATTGTGTAAATACTTGCACAATTTTAAATCATTATAAATGTACCTGAGGACTGTGACTCCACCCTCTTCACACTTGACTCCTCCTCCACCATTAGCTGTGCTCGTTCCATTGGCAGCATCTTCCGTCCTCACAGCAGACATCCCAGCGTCTTCTGACTGAGCAAACACATTCACAAAAACAGGACACACACATCTCTATAAGCCATCTTTCTGGAAACTTCTCATAGATAGTTTTATTTTAATACTGTACAAACGTGATGTTTTATTTCCTTATTCTAAACTCTACCCGTCAGAACAACCCCCAGAGAAAATGTTTAGATTTTTACATTTTGAAAATCACTTAATTCTGTGCGACTAAACCTTTCTCATGGGAACCAAATAATGTGAGAAGTTACTTCTATTACTGTACACGAGGCAAAACAATGAAGGGAATATCAGGTGTGTACGCATGCGCACACGCACACGCACACACCCTATTTTTGATTATCTGCCTCTCCTGCCATTCACAAAGATTATTTTACCGGAATGCATATTATTTACAAACAAACACTTCCCTTAACTTAATTTTAAATGTGATTTTACTCAATATTAAGAGTTTTTTTATTATTTATGTTGAACACTCAAGATTTCAGATTTTCAAATAATTTTATCTCAGCCAAATATTGTCCAACGTGTATCATAAAAACATGATGGATTGAGATTACTTATTTAGCTTAATTATTACTAAGCCTGGGCGAGAAAATCGGCATTGATATTTATTGACCGAACACCATTGTCAACATTGATAAAAAAAAAAAAAGATTCGGTATTTAGTTTCGGTATAAAGCGCTATAGTTTTATTAATATGTGGCTGCTGTGCGCATGCCTTGGAAGAAATGCCAATAAGCTCAGGGTGTCAGTTTGTTATTTCCAATGGAGGCGTGCGACTTGCATGACACATGGGAGCGACGCGTACATGTTGTGCAAGCAGTAAGCAGTGAACCGTGCGCATTTTCCAGCTGCACCTAGTTTAAAAAACATTCGAAAATTTTCAGAATGCCGCGAGCGCACTACTATTCATGCAAGTAGAACTAACCAATCTGCTTCACGCTTAATATGAAATATACACATTTCAGTAATAATGCCACACTAAGGCCCCGTTTACACTGCCAGTTAAATGTGACCCAAATTTTTTGCTCATATGTGACACAGATCGGATCTGTTCTATGACCGTGTAAACACGAAAAAAACGCATGGATTCGGATATTCAGAGATCGGTTTCAGGCCTCCTTCATATGTGGAAATAAATCAGATAGAGATCAGATATGTGATAATGCAACTGTCTTGTAAACAGGCAGATCGGATTTATTAAGGTATTCCGTTCTGTACATCATTAAACTTGCGACAATGTGGTGCTTCTCCGCGGTTTAAAGACGGAAGGAAGAGCGTGTGTGGAGATGCCGACGTGGTAAACAACAGAGGAAACACACAGGAGGAAAGTGGTCAGTCGCCACAATTTGCTCCAACCAGACCTGAGATCTCTCTCGTACCCACAAATTTCGATGAATGGTGGAGGACATCATAAAGCATATAAACCATAAGCGCAAGCTGCGATGACGGCCCTTTCCCACCTCCTCCGCCTCAAGATCATTTTAAAGTTGGGTGAACTTCGTGTAGTAACTTTTGCTTTTTGTCGCTATTAATACACGTACTGCGAGCTGCACATAGCAGAACTTTATTCTCTTCAACACCAGTGCGCACACAGGCAAAGGCTACATCTTCAACTACACACACACACATCAGGGCCATACCATTACATAAATTGCATGGGGGTAAATCTGGATTAAACTATTCACTCCTTATATTACACTTCGCATATTTCGCATAGCTAAAAACAAGACAATTTCTTCCATCCTGGCAAGTGTGGCACAGATGCTAGAACCCGCCTTCATGCATGCCCGACATCGTAAATTGTATGGCAAGTGTAAACACAATATTGGATTTGGGTCACAATTAGAACAACGTGTAAACAGACAGGCAAACAAATCAGATATGGGCAACAAATCGGAATTGGAGATCAAGACCTGACAGTGTAAACGGGGCCTAATTATCTCAGACAAACACAGCACACCCAAACAGCGCTTTTTACTTTTCTCCATAATTTAGCATCGGAGCTGCAGTAATCATTTCTCTGTTTGTCATCCTCTGAGAAAACAGTTGATGGTCACCTAGTTACGAGAAATGCCAGGGGAGCATGAGCGCAAAGTCCATTGTAAAAGAACAAGGAATCCACACGCACAGGCTTGTCACTTTAGGTCAGAAAAACAACACATGTGAAATTGAGTGCCGTATAGCAGCAGCGAGGAGATTGTAAATAAAAATGTAAGGATGTTGCCAGAGTGGCTTTTTGGTTTCTTTTCTTGTGCATCCCAGCCACTAACAGCCCATGTGAAGAATTTTTTAGCATAGGGCTAATGTAGTCATTCAACTTCACAATTTGTAATGTTCAGCTGTATTTGAATAATGATGGTTGGTTCCTTCACTTGAAAGCTCAGATTTGATTATCATAATTAGTGTTGTTGATTTACTGTATCATTATTAATTCTGACACCTTAACCCTTTAATTGTTCAATATCTCCGCTTTACCATTGCACACACTTTGTAACATTTTATTCATCAAGTTTAACAGGCTCTTTAACACTTATGTTTATTTTATTATAAAGAGATCAGATATTTAGTTTACATATTTTGTTTTTGACTATTAAATCTATTTGCCTCAGGAATGTTGGTAAATTAAAATAAAGTGGTTAAATAAGAAAATCCTAATATTCCTAATCGTATTGTTAAAAAAACATAGAATAATTATTTATATCAAATGATATGAAACATAATATTGTGATGATTTTTTTGTAATATCGCCTAGCCCTACTCATTACTTTTCAAAAACTGTTCATTATAAACTCTTTTCTTGCCAGTAAATCACTACAAAATCACATATTTGAAAGAGAAACAACACACATTCCACTCTTTTTCTAATGTAACAACATTTCAGCATCGAAATTCAGATATGACCTTATAAAAGGACATTTCAGGTTTTGTCTTTATCAAAATATCATAAACACTGCCCAGTTCATCCAAAAGCCCTCAGAGTTTGTGCAGATGATGACATTATTATAATAATAGGCTCTTACCTCCAACTCAACCTCCTAAACTGGGGCTCCAACTGTCCGTTTAGCTGACTATTGAGGATGATCATAAAAGAACATCCAGTGAAGTGATTGTTCCTGAGGACACACACACACAGAGAGAGAGAGAGAGAGAGAGAGAGAGAGAGAGAGAGAGAGAGAGAGAGAGAGAGAGAGAGAGAGAGAGAGAGAGACAGACAGAGAGGGGAGAGTGAGAATTTAATTTTGGAGAGAAAAAAACAATTATTTATATAAAATACTTTAAACAAAATGTAATATTCACCTTTTAATATCATACAAACACAAACTTAATGACACAGCAAAGTAATGTTGTTGTTTTTTTGCATATCTACATAGGGTTGGGCGATTTGGTCTAAAATCAAAATCTCGATTAATTGAAATGTTAACTCGATTAAGATTACTAAAATATGATTTTATGTGTTTTTATTTATTTATTTTTTGCCCCCTCCAAGCTACTCACTCTAGTCAATGCTACCAAGTAGAGATGCTCCGCACACACCAACCACAGAGCCTGTATTTTTTTAACTGTTGGTGGTTTTTACATCATTAAACTTCAGACGTGCCATGATCATCCATGGAATTATAAAGAAATGAGTATTCTGGATTTGACTGAATCTAAAACAATAAAGAATGCTAATATGTTGAACTGAAGCCAGCTTTACTCTTATAATGATGATCAGTGACAAACACACAAACAAAGAGAAACGCACGCACGCACACACACACAGACAGTGAGAAACACTCAAAAAAAAACACAAATAGATAAACAAAAACACACAGATTGAGTTACACACAATCAAACACATAGAATGAGACAAACACACTCACACACACGTTTATGTTTGTTTGTGTATTACTGTGTCGCTCTTTCACTCACACACTCACACACACACACAGAGAGCAAGTGACAAACACATATACAGTGTGTGCGTGTGTGTGTGTGTGTGTGTGTGTGAGTAAGTGAGAAAGAGACACAAACAAACAAACAACAACACACAGAGACAAACACAGAGAGTAAGTGGCAAACACACAAACAAACAAATAAACACACACACACACAAAGACTGAGGCAAACAACCAAAATCACAGTGTCAAACCCACCAAAAACATAAGAGACAGAGTAACAAACACGCAGAGTGAGAGCGACAAACACAGACAAACAACACACAAACACAAAGAAAGAGAGTGAGTGAGTTACTGACAAGCAAACACACACACACACACACACACACACATTGAAAAAGACACACACAGAGTAAGTGACAAACAAAACACACACACACACAGAGTGAATGACAAACACACACACAAACAAACAGAGTGAGAGAGACAAACACAAACAAAAACAAACAAAATGACTGACGAGCAAACACACACACAAATGCAGTGAGAGACAAACACAAACAAACAGAAAGACTAACAAACACACATACACAGAGTGAAAGAGAGACAAACACAAACAAAATGACTGACAAGCAAACACACACACACAAACGCAGAGTGAGAGACAAACACAAACAAACAGAATGACTGACAAGCAAGCAAACACACGCAAACGCAGAGAGACAAACACAAACAAAAACAAACAAAATGGCTGACAAACACACACAGACACACACACAAACGCAGAGACAAACAAAAACAAACAGAATGGCTGACAAACAAACACACACACAGAGTGAGATAAACACAAACAAAAACAAACAGAATGACTGACAAGCAAGCAAACACACACAAACGCAGAGAGACAAACACAAACAAAAACAATCAAAATGGCTGACAAACACACACAGACACACACACAAACGCAGAGACAAACAAAAACAAACAGAATGGCTGACAAACACACACAGACACACACACAAACGCAGAGAGACAAACATAAACAAACAGAATGAGTGACAAACAAACACACCCACCCACACACACACACAGAGAGTGAGACAAACACAAACAAAAACAAACAGAAGGACTGACAAGCAAGCAAACATACACACACACAAACAAACAGAATGAGTGGCAAACAAACACACACACAAACACAGACAGACACACAAAACACACAGAGAGTGACAAACACACGAGAGATAGAGTGACTGACAAGCACACAAATACAAACACAAGTAACGTTACACACAGCGAGTGTCTATTCCCCCGCACACACTGAAAGGCGCTTCAAACAGCGGTTGTTGTGTTTTTGTGTTTGCGGGATGAACGAAGACAAAAGAGCAGTCATGGCGAGCTTTCTGGTGTTTACCACTGAAAATACCGTATAGTCGCACTGTCCTGAGATCAGCATCCGCTTCAAACACACAGACAGCTTCAAAAGCATCGACATAATCTACTGCCATTATCCCACATTATCCTACTATCATTAAAAGTTGCACTCTTTGTGTACGTATGCCACACTTCCGAACAGAAGCAGTACTTACAGTCCAGCTCTTCGGGAAATCCTGATTAAAACAGAGATTTTAATGATCTGCTGAAGCTGTATGAGTTATGATGGACAGGGAAGAGATTGTAGAAGTGGTCAATATTACGGGAACTCGCTTTTGTCTGCGGAGCTCGAGCTCTCCGAACTCAAAACAGGAAGCGGCAGGAAGAAACCACGTGGCCTTCAGAGGCCGCTCTTAAAGGGACAGTTCACCCAAAATTCATGACAGCTTTAGATATAGGGCATTTTCAACAATTTTAGAGGACACAGGATTGGGTCATAGGATTTAGTAGGGTTTTGATGATTATGTCCATTTAAGAGTTGAGGAGCTCAGAACGAAAGATGGAGGAGCTGAACACGCAGTGCCAGCTTTAGTATGAGAAATGATGGATCCCAAGCACCCCCACCCCCTGTAGATGGCGGTAATACTCCCAAGGAGTGAACCGCCAATAAACAAAAAAGAAGAAAAAAGAAAATTCATATGTACCATAGAACATGTATTTTTATGGTATATTAATGAAAAAAGCAGTATTTATACAGTGTATGGTATTCATGCACTGCCAGATATACCACATAGTAAGACATAGGCTGTGTCCAAAATCACCTAATACTCAATAGGTACTGCATTTGAATGTATTACTCGATCATTAGAAAAGTACATTCTATATAGTATGAATGTGAGTGGTATGACTGGAACTCGGACGTACTACATCCGCCATTTTGTCATGATCAGTTGTGCCGATTCACTTCCATTACGTCCCATTCACACGGTGCGTCAGCGACAACGCTTTCCATTCCTTTTGAATGGGTGACGTCAGGCATTGCCGAACTGCATTGTGGATCCGTCGGCGCAGCTTCAGTGGCGTAGTTCGCTCTAGAAGTTGGGACTTTCTCAACTTTTCAATCACCCGATGGACGATCGCGTCAGCACCAACTTCAGACATGCCCTCTGTCAAGCGTTGACACTGAATCTCCATGTGAACCGGGCGTTAACGAATTCCCTCACGTGGTATCATGGGATATCGTAGTGTGCATTGTTTGTGCACTTCAGAATCTCGTTGGTAAAGTCTTGCATACTATTTCTCGAACTCTATGAATTCAGACTGATACAAACAAACTACTCGGCTCGCTTACTGATTTTAGCGTGCTATATAGTATGGAAGTATGCTATTTCAGACACAGCCATAGACTATTTACACAGCTACAGGAAAAACAAGTGGAGCCCAATATGATATACTTTTTAAAGTTAGTTTTAGATATTTATATAACTTTTTGAAAGGTTTAAGTTGCAGAATTTAGTGTTTAGTTGAGTATTTATTTATTGGCTCAGTGGTAAGCACTGTCGCCTCACAGCAAGAAGGTCACTGGTTCGAGCCCCGGCTGGGTCAGTTGGCATTTCTGTGTGGAGTTTGCATGTTCTCCCTGTGTGTGCATGGGTTTCGTCCGGGTGCTCTGGTTTCTCCGACAGTCCAAAGACATGCGGTACAGGTGAATTGAATAAACTAAATTGACCATAGTGTGTGTGTGAATGGGGGTGTATGGGTGTTTCCCAGTGATGGGTTGCAGCTGGAAGGGCATCTGCTGCGTATGCTGAAATGGCTGTGGCGACCTCTGATAAACAAGGGACTAAGCAGAAGGAAAATGAATTAATAAAATATAAGTGTTACTCCTGGCCCACACTCCAGTCCAGATGGTGGCAGTAATTCTCCAAAAGGATGGTTGCCAAACAGCACAAAATTACATGAAGGAGAAGAAATTAAAACATTCTCCAAATTTACTTGGGCTGCGTCCGAAACTGCATACTTCCATACTATATAGGACGCTAAAATCAGTATGCGAGCCGAGTAGTATGTCCGAATTCATAGAATTCGAAAATCAGTAGGCGAGAAGTACCTGGATGACTTCCTACTTCCGGCGAGATTCTGAAGTGCGCATCACATGCATGCTGCGCTATCCCATAATGCCCTGTGAGAGAATTCATGAATGAAAGCGAGGCGACGCAACTGACGCAGGTAGGTCACGTGACCATGACAAAATGGCGGATGTAGTACGTCCGAATTCCATTCACTTTTCACATTCATACTGTATAGAACATACTTTTCTAACGGCCGAGTAGTACATTTAAATTCGAATGCAGCACCTACTGAGTAGTAGGCGGTTTCGGACGCAGCCTTGGACTCAAGTGGTTCCAAACCTTTATACTTTTCTTCGTTGTCCTAAAACGCAGAATATTTTCTGATGAATTGTGGTAGACCTTATCTTTCATTGTAGAGAGAGCTATAATGTGGAACACAATGGCCAACAATTTTAACATTCTACAAAATATCTTCATTTGTTTTCAACCTCAAGCAGGTTACATAGTTAAGTTAACAATGACAGCTTTTTCATTTTAGGATAACTATTTTCATACCAGTAGCCAATCACATCAGCCATAGCACATGGCAGCAACTCAGTGCATTTAGGCATGTAGACACGGTCAAGACAATCTGCTTCAGTTCAAACCGAGCATTAGGATGGGGAAGAAAGGTCTTTTAAGTGACTTTGAACGTGGCATGGTTGTTAATGCCAAACGGGCTGATCTGAGTAATTCAGAAACTGCAGAAAAGCATCTCTGAACACATCCAACCTTGAGGCAAATGGGCTACAGCGGCAGAAGGCCACACCGTGTGCCGCTTTAGTCAGCTAGGAACAGGAAACTGAGGCTACAGTTCACACAAGCTCACCAAAATTGGATGATAGAAGATTGGAAAAATGGTGCCTGGTTTGATGAGTCTTGATTTTTGCTGCAACATTCAGATGGTACGGTCAGAATTTGGCATGAACAACAGGAAAGCATGGATCCATCCTGCCTTGTGTTAACGGTTCAATGCTGTGGGGGATTTTTTTTGCACACTTTGGGCCCATTAGTACTAATTGAGCATTCTGTCAACGCCACAACCTACCTGAGTATTGCTGCTGGCCATGTCCATCCCTTTATGACCACAGTATACCCATCTTTTTATGGCTACTTCCATCAGGGTAACGCACCATGTCATAAGGCACGAATCATCTCAGACTGGTTTCTTGAACATGACAAAGAGTTCACTGTACCCAAATGGCCAGCACAGTCACCAGATCTTAACCCCTTCAGACCTGAATTATGTTTCAAATTTTAGAAAAATGGGATGTCATGTGAAGTCCATTGTAATGGACGCAGGGTCTGAAGGGGTTAAAATCCTAAAATCTTAAAATCCTTGGCAGAAAGTTTTCCTATTTATGGCATAAATTATATTGATGAATGATAATGAATCAGTAGAATTGATAAAAACACTTTTTTAAAGGGATAGTTCACTCAAAAATGAAAATGTCATTATTCACTCACCCTCAAGTGGTTGTAAATTTATTTTGTTTTTTAAGCACAAAACATGAGGCGTTGATTCGAGCCTCAGGTGGGGTCAGTTTGCATTTCTGTGTGGAGTTTGCATGTTCTCCCCGTGTTGGCGTGGGTTTCCTCCGGGTGCTCCCGTTTCCGCCACAGTCCAAAGACATGCGCTATAGGTCAAACGTATAAACTAAATTGGCCATAGTGTATGAGTTTGACACAGTGAGTATGGGTGTTTCCCAGTTTTGGGTTGCGGTTAATGCTATTTTTTGAAGGCTATTTGTTCCAGCATTCTTCAGTATATTGTCCTTTGTGTTACTAAAAAAAAAAAAGAAATCAATACAGGTTTGGAACAAGTGGAGGATGAGTAATTATTGCTGAATTTTCATTTTTGGGTGAACTATTTCTTTAAGACAGGGACTCGGTCCTGGAGGGCCGGTGTCCTGCAAAGTTTAGTTCCAACCCCAATCAGACACACCTGGGCTAGCTAATCAAGCTCTTACTTACTTAAGCAAGTTGGAGCTAAAACATGACAGAGTATGGGCACCCCTGCTTTAAGATAACAGCATTATTTTGTTATCATTTTGACCACGAGGTGTCGCTGTCTCGAACTTTTCAAATACATTCAGTACATTGTGCTAAAAACACATGCCAGGGCACATCATGATTTTGCCAAGTACGTTGTGATCCTGGATTAACATCTATGTTGATCCTGGAACATTATTTTTATTTAAAAATGTAATCCCTTCCCCTAAACCCAAGCAAAACTGTAAATTATTCCCAAAATCAGAGGGGAATAATAGTTGGATAACAATCATGTAGAAGTGCATAAACCTAACCATAAGCGTAAACGTATCCCTTAATTCTGATTGGTGGATTGTAATGTTGTTCCAGGATCAACATAGATGTTAATCCAGGAACACGTCCTATTTGTTGAAACCAAGTTGGCGACATACCAAGTGATCTAGAGTGATCTATCAATGTGTTCATACATTTTACATCAAAATTGGATGTAATCTGGATGTAAAAACTGCATGTCATTTGACTCTGTGTCTGAATAAGTTCTATAGCATACTTTACTACTGTTATTGCCCCTAACCATTCTCATAATACTGATTATATTGATGTAAGAGCCCGCTCTTATGTTCAGCTGATTTCAATACAGCCCCTAATGAGAAGAAAGACTACAGCTAATTATGTTTAAACTATATTTAATTATCATTTACACCTTTTATAATTAGCATTTAATGATTTGTTTTATAGTGCAAAACTACATGCATAAGGATAAATATGTCCACATCAGAAGCAGGGGTTCCCAAAGCCAACACGTGACTGCAGGTCGTGGATCTCTTGCAGAAGTGGCTCCGCTTGTAAATTCATCTGTAAAAGCAATAGTGTAATGCTATTTTAAACACCACAGACTTTAATACTCACAAATGCAATAAGACAAAATTGGCAAACCTTTATGGCGTATTTATACGATTGCTCTGCTTCTAGTTTCCTGCCGGTCTGAAAAGAACAAAGCAGCCAAATTCAAAATTAAAATATAAATAACTACAAAAATACAACTTGACACAGCTTTGTTTGCTCTGGTGTCAAAACTAAAATGATTTAGATGTCGAAATGGCTTCTTCTATGCAGGCAGTTTACTAGGTTTTTAAAGAGAGCAGTTGTGTCTGTTAAATCAAATTGACAGTGATTTCAACATAAAAGAATAATCCACTGACAAAATGTAAATTCTCTTGGCTAAACAGGTAAACACAGCATTTTTTTCTCATATTACAGAAGTCAATGGGATCCAAAAACTAGGAAAAACCCAGTGGACACCATGATGTTAAACTGACATCACTTCCTCACTTATTTCTTGCTATATCAGGGGTCGCCACAGTGCAATGAACCACTTAGCACAAAATGGCACAAACATAATGTTAAAATCACTTTAAAAAAAACAATCTGATTTGATGTTAATTGACTAGCTTGGTCAAAAGTCTTTTACTCAATTTTTGATGTTTTTTATACCAATTTTAGATGTCTATTTGATGTCATTTTAACATCAAGGATAGATGCATTTTAGAGATACAAACAAAGTGTACATTTGAAATTGATAAAGCTCCTGTAATGAATTGTTGATGTTTGTTTGTTTTTATGCCAATTTTAGACGTCAATTTGATGTCATTTTAAC